ATCTTCCATTGTTTCTTTGCCAGCTGTTTTCTTACTTCTTTTTTTCATGCTGGTATAATTCTTCAAGGATTTGCTTTTTATGGGATTCTTGAGACCAACTTGACACTTTGAATGGGCTGGAGGCTTCATCATCTTGTTTGCTGTTGGGTGGCCAAAAGTCATACCTGATTCTGATTCTAATGGCTCCTCCTGAGGTAGATACAGCTTCAAAATTTCATCCTTAGCTTTCTTCTCTGGGCTTCAAGTTTTTTTTTATTTTAGAAAACTTTCTTAATTTTTATGAACATGGATATAGTGTATATGGATAATTGTTACATTTTATCCAGCATTTCTTTTCTTTTTTCTTTTTTTTTAAAGATTTATTTTAGAGGGAGGTAGAGAGGGAGAAGGAGAGAGAGGGAGGAATCTTCTGTTTGCTGGTTCTCACACCAAGTGGCCATGGCTGGAGCTGGGCTGATCCGAAGCCAGGGGCTTCTTCTGGGTCTCCTATGTTGGGGAGGGTCCCAAGCACTTGGACCATCTTCCACTGCTTTCCCAGGCACATTAGCAGGGAGGTGGATCAGAAGTGGAGCAGCCAGGATTCGAACTGGCTCCCACATGGGATCCTGGCACTGCAAGTAGAGGCTTAACCTGCTATACTGCAGTGCTGGGTCCTATCCAGCATTTCTAAGTTTTCAGATCAGAAACTTCCACCCCTCTTCCATTCTCCTCCAATAATATCTGGTCCAGAAATAATTCTGTTACTGACTTAATGTGGTATAAATTGAAAATTATATAGGGGCTGGTGCTGTGGCGTAGTAAGTTAAGCCTTTGTCTGTGGCTCTGGTATCCCGTATGGGCCAGTTAGAGTCCTGACTGCTCTACTTTTTTTTTTTTTAATATTTATTTATTTACTTGAGAGGCAGAGTAGAGACATGGAAGGAGAGACAGGTCTTCCATCCATTGGTTCACTCCCCAAATGGCCACAGTGGCTGGAGCTGGGCTGATCTGAAGCCAGGAGCCAGGAACTTCTTACAGGTCTTCAACGTGTGTGCAGAGGCCCAAGCACTTGGGCCATCTTCTATTGCTTTCCCAGGCCATCAGCAGGGAACTGGATTGGAAGTGGAGCAGCCAGGACTTGAACTGGCACCCATATGGGATGCCAGTGCTGCAGGTGGGTGCTTAACCTATTCACCACAGTGCCAGCCCCATGGCTACTCCACTTCTGATTTACCTCCCTGCTAATGTGCCTGGGAAAGCAGCAGAGGATGGCCCACAAGTACTTGGGCCTCTGTACCCACATGGGTGACCTGGAATAAGTTCATGGCTTCTAGCTTTGGACCAGCTCAGCCCTGGCTGTTGCTGGGAGTGAACCAGCAGGTAGAAGATCTCTGTCTGCATGTCTCTTCCTCTCTGTGACTCTGCCTTTCAAATGAATAAATCTTAAAAAAAAAAAATCTCCAAATAACTCATCTGATTGCTTACAAAGATGAAATGTTATATGGTTGTTATCATTCTTTGTATAACATTTAGAGATAAGGTTTTTTTATGTTTATTTCTGTAGTCCTTTCCTATTTTTTCTTTGTTTTTATGAAAGTAATGATAATGGTACAACATTTTAAGTGGTGAAATGGAATAAAGATTTAATAAATATTTTGACATATTTGTCCACAGTTTTCTGGCTTTTTTGGGTGGCATTTGAAATTGTCTTATTGAAAAATATTCTGTGAAGTTCACAAATCTGTATATTCTCTCTTTTTTTTTTATTTCTTTTGACAGAGTGGACAGAGAGACAGAGAGAAAGGTCTTCCTTTGCTGTTGGTTCACCCTCCAATGGCCGCCGCGGCCGGCGCGCTGAGGCCAGCGCACCGCGCTGATCAAAGGCAGGAGCCAGGTATTTCTCCTGGTCTCCCATGGGGTGCAGGGCCCAAGCACTTGGGCCATCCTCCACTGCACTCCCTGGCCACAGCAGAGAGCTGGCCTGGAAGAGAGGCAACCGGGACAGAATCCGGCGCCCCGACTGGGACTAGAACCCGGTGTGCCGGTGCCGCAAGGCGGAGGATTAGCCTAGTGAGCCGCGGCACCGGCCACTTTTAGTTTTAATATTCAGTTCAGCTATAGAAATCTTTTATACAAGGTGTTTTCTGAAGCCTAGTACTCTAAAGGAAATAATTAAAATACAGTAGTATCAAGTCACAGAGTGTAAAGTTACTATTTCTATCATATATTGCTGAACTTCTTAAAAAGCAAAGTTAACAGTTTACTGTTTTGTCCATTCTCACTATTAAGTTTTGTGATTTAATGGTATAATATCAGGAGCACAAAATTCTGGAGTCATATTGAACAGTTTCCATTTCTGACTTTTTAATGTGTGACCTCAGATACATTTTAATCTCTCTCAATATAGATTTTTAAATCTATAGTAGGATTGCTTTGAGAATTAAGTAAGTGACAGATAGCTGGCACCTGGCAAGACCTCATTATTTGAGAATATTTTTCTTCATGGTTGTTTTAATGTTATACTTCTTTTTGATTAATGAAGCTAGATATTTTCCTAAGTGTTTTGGTTTTCTATTTATATTTTGTTTCATGAGAACTGTCAAATATTTCCTTTTCTTAAAGTAGAAGTTTCACTTCAGAAACCATTTGACATACTAATAGCAAAAGTGTAACAAGTAAAAGATTAATAAGTTTGACTATCATAATTAAAATGTTATGCTTCAGAGTACACCATCAAGGAAGTGAAAAGGCAGCTCACTGAATGATAAAAAGTATTTTTAAATGATATAACCAATGAAGGGCTTGTACCCAGAAAATGTAAGAAACTCTTAAAAAGTTAATAAAAAATAAAATGTTTTAAATTGGCAAAAGATTTGGATTTTTTTGAAAGATGATATACAAATGGAAAATATGAGAAAATGCTCAGCTTCTTTAGACATTAGGGAAATTCAAATCAAAGGCACAATGAAATATCATTTCACACCCACAAAATGGCCATAATAAAAAAGGGCAGGGGTGAGTGGTGGGTGCATGGCCCAGCGAGTGAGACACTGACTGGTTAGGATACTAACATTGCATATTGGAGTGCCTGGGTTCAAATCCTGGCTCTGCTCCAGATTCTGTTTTCTTATTAATGCACAGCATGGGAGGAAGCAGGTAATGGTTCAGGTATTTGGGTTTCTGCCACACACGTGGGATACCTGGATTGTGTTCCCAGCTCCTGGTTTTGGCCTAGCATTTGGGAATATATCAGCAGATGAGAGTGAATGCTGTCTGTCTTACAAATTAATTATTTTAAAAGTCACTTTTTAAAAAAGGGACAGTAACAAGTGCTGGCAAGATTGTGTAGAAATTGGAATTTCATACATTGCTGATAGGAATGTAAAATGGAATGGCCACTTTGGAAGGTAATTTGTTAGTTCCTTACAGTGTTGAGCATAAAGTTATCAGGGGACCCAGGAGTTCCATGCTACATAAGTACTCAAAACATATGTCTGCTCAAAAACTTGTATACAAATGTTTATAGTAGCGTTATAACTTAAAAATAAAGGAAACAACCTAAATTCCATCAGCTGATAAAGTGTGTCCTGTCCATACACTGGAAAAATATCTGGCAGTTAAAAAGATGGAGTTATATGGATGATCCTTGAAAACATGCAGAATAAAAATGTCACAGAAGACCATATATTGTATGATTCCACCTACATTAAATATTCAGAATAGGCAAATCTATAGAGACAGGAAGTAAATTAGTGGTTGTCTACAGCTGGTTTGGGGTGGAGGACTCACGGGGTAGTGATTGCTAAAGCCTTCAGGGTTTCTTTTTGGGATGATGAAAATGTAAAATTAGATTATGGTGTTAGCTGCACAACTTTATAAATATGAGAGCGCTTTCAATGGAAAATTCACAGTATCTTTTAATCCATTTTCCTTGAAGTTTCACAACTTACTTATTTTTTATTTGAAAGGCAGAAAGAGATCTCCCATCCACTGGTTTAATCCCCAAATGCCTGTAATAGCTGAGGCAGGACCAGGCCAAAGAGAGGAGCCAGATTCTTATTCCAGGTCTCCTATGTGGGTGGCAGGGACCTAACCATTTGAACCACCACTGCTACTTCCCAGGATGCTCGTTAGCAGGAATCTGAAATTGAGAATAGAGCAGATTCTGGATTTGAACCCAGGTACCCTGAGGTGGGATGCTGGCATCACTGCGATGCTAAATGCCTACCCCTTTGAAGCCTTCTAATATACTGAGAACTATTGTGATCTTTAAATGGGTGAACTTTATGGTATTCAAATTATGTATCATAAAAGCCATTTAAAGATAGAAGGAGGGGAAAGAAGGGATTAAGAAAGACACTGACTGGGGCTGGTGCTGTGGCATAGCAGGTAAATGGCCCAAGTCCTTGGGCCTGTGTACCCACGTGGGAGACCTGGAAGAAGCTCTTGGCTCCTGGCTTTGGCTTGGCCCAGCCCTGGCCAGTGACTATTTGGGGAGTGACCCAGCAGATGGAAGATCTCTCTTCCCTTTCTCCCTCTCTCCCTCTCTCCCCACCCCCTGTCTCCCTTCCTCTTAGAAAGAAAGAAAGAGAGAAAGAAAAAGACACTGGTTGACAAGTTTTTCTGTTTTCCTTTATAATCATCTGTTTTCCTTTATAATCATCTGTTGTCCAAGTTGTTGGTTAGGAGTAAGATCGATAGATCTTATATGGTAATTCCTGATGTGGTAGAAAATAGCTTTTTTCTACTTCATTGATGTTTCCTTTTGGTATAATGGCTGATAATGTAAGTCTTGGGTCTCCAGGTTCCTGTCCTGTATTTCCAGCTATGAGTTTCTTGTCAAGCTGAATTACTTTGTAGATTGTGTCTTTGTTTATAAAGTTAGGATGGTTTTTGCTTTTTCTTCCACAGAGGATTGTTGTGAAGGTCAGATGAAAGTGAGATAGTAATATGAAAGCTGAATAAATAAATATAGAGTACTTGTAAGATTTCTAACGGTTCTCTGTATTTTCCTTTGATAGGTGTAAAACACAAATCTTTCCTAACAGCTGAGGACTGTTTTGAGTTGGGCAAAGTGGCATATACAGAAGCAGATTATTACCACACAGAACTGTGGATGGAACAAGCACTAAGGCAGCTGGAAGAAGGCGAGATTTCTACCATAGATAAAGTTTCTGTTCTAGATTATTTGAGCTATGCAGTGTACCAGCAAGGAGATCTGGATAAGGCACTTTTGCTCACAAAGAAGCTCCTCGAACTAGGTATGTTGTCTGGGCTGAATTTAAGGTTATACTTATATTGGGAGGGATATATATTATCTGTCTAGCTTCTCCATCTATCCATCCATCCATCCATCTTTGGTACTTTCTATGAGCATTACCGTCAGACATGCTTTATCTTGTTGATTATTATTAAAAGTAAATGGTAACTGAGTTTCTCACTATAATAGTGGCTGCGTTTCTCCATTCCATGTTCTCCAGGAATTTCAAAATTAGATCTAATCCAGCTTATTAAGTAAAAAAAGTTTACTTACCATATTACCATAGTAAATGTTAAGAAGTTTCCTTTGAAGAATTTTTTTGGTTTATTACATTTAATATTAAAAAATAAGTGATCTGAAACAAATGGAATGAAAATATATTTCATTGCTGTATTTAAATGCCAGAAAAATGTGATATGTAATGAGAATTTTGCCATTAGTACTTTAAATGGAGATAGAGTGTTTAAGTATGGTGTAGGGACCACAGGCATCAGAATTACATAGGTTGTTACAAGTGGAAATTCCTGATCTCTGCCTAAGATCTACTAAACTGTAAACTCTGGATATGGAGTCCAGAATTTATACAATAATAAATTCAGGCTATATGAATATGTATATGGTGAAACTTTTTTTTAAAAAGTAATTATTTTTACATATAGGAAAATACATGTATGTTAGATGAGTCAAACAGCTCAAAAGATTACTCATCTGCAGGTAAACTTTTGATATTTGGGTTATTGCTTGGGTGAATTAATGAATAGAAATATTAGTTCAATAACTTTCTTTTGTTTTCTGGTCATCTTTCTTTCTGATTAAAAAGTGTAGCTTTCATTCTTTGTAAAAATTGAGACAGAAAGAAATGTCAGAGTCATCCATAAGCTAGTCACCCCAAGCTACCCACAAATTTTTGTTTATTTTATAGTATATGCTCCCTCCCTACAACACACATTTCCCTTTCTTTTTAAAGTTAGGCTTATATTGTATATCATAACATATGTTGTTAGTAGTTTCTGAAGAACAACAAAAATTTTACCATCTAGGAATAGATTTCCTAAACATTCCAGTTATTCTCACAGGTGATGTCTATGTATGTTCGGCCTTGTGTGTGTGTGTGGTGGTGGTGTGGTGGTGGTGATTTGTGGCATTGTTATCTTTCCCCCTACTAAAAGGTAGGTGACTAGTAATCCTGAGGCAATTATGGATTCTGGCTTATGTCTTAGTTTCTCTTTTCCTTATTTAGAAATGTGGGACTGAATCCACTTAGCCTTCAGAATTCTGTAGTCTCTGTTCTGCATTGATAGTGTATCTGTGATAAAGGTTGCTTTTGCAATATGTATGTCCTGTCTTCTCTATGGTGATTACTTCTAAGTCTCCAAAAATCTTTTCCATTGCTTAAAATAAGTAGGATGAGTAAGATTTTAAAATTCATTTGACATCAGATTGAGTATAATTCCCTTGGCTGATTAGTAAGTTCTCCAAATAGAAGCAGTAATTGCTACTTTGAAATAAATAGCTGTTTTTGTCTCCCAAATTGTTTTTATAAAGAGTGACTATATGTCCTGATTTACTTGCGACAACACTAGTTTACACCTATTGCTCTGATACAATAGTTTTGTTAGTGACCCATTTCATTCTCAGAAGCATCCTGGTTTAGAAGATAAATTATGTGGTTTCCTATTTTTATATTACTGTATTCTGATTCTTGAACAACTGTAAACTTACCCATGGACATGCTTTCTTTCTCTGCAAATAGATCCTGAACATCAGAGAGCTAATGGTAACTTAAAATATTTTGAGTATATAATGGCTAAAGAAAAAGATGCCAACAAGTCTGCTTCAGATGGCCAATCTGATAAGAAAACCACACCGAGGAGAAAAGGGGTTGCTGTGGATTACCTACCAGAGAGACAGAAGTACGAAATGCTGTGCCGTGGGGAGGGTATCAAAATGGTAAAGTGGAAAAGCCAATTGTGTGTGTATGAATATGTGTGTATTTGTTTATATATAGTTCGAGAGAGAACAAGAATTGTTTATATTTAAGACTTGTTGATAAAAATCAGACTGACTACATAAAATATTAAGGTATGCCCTCATTTCTATCTTAAGTAGAAATAATATACTGTTGTAACTCATGTGATGTAATGGATTAGTCTGTATTATTATCATTTTTGTGGTTTTGTTCCTAGTCGATCTTTGTTCCTAGTCAATCTTAAAAGATTATTTATTGAACTGTTTTAGTCTATTTAAGAAATACTCAGCATGCAGAAAGACTTTCAACAGATTTTGACATTCATATTTATTCTTTAAAAGACAAATATATCCAAGCCGGCGCCGTGGCTCAATAGGCTAATCCTCCACCTTGCGGCGCCGGCACACCGGGTTCTAGTCCCGGTTGGGGCGCCGGATTCTGTCCCGGTTGCCCCTCTTCCAGGCCAGCTCTCTGCTATGGCCAGGGAGTGCAGTGGAGGATGGCCCAGGTGCTTGGGCCCTGCACCCCATGGGAGACCAGGAAAGCACCTGGCTCCTGGCTCCTGCCATCGGATCAGCGCGGTGCGCCGGCTGCAGCGGCGGCCATTGGAGGGTGAACCAACGGCAAAAAGGAAGACCTTTCTCTCTCTGTCTCTCTCTCTCACTGTCCACTCTGCCTATAAAAAAAAAAAAAAAAAAAAAAAAAAAAAAAAAAAAGACAAATATATCCATATAAATATTTATTAAAGATTTATACTTACATTTATAACTCAGCATGCCAGTTCTTCAGGATCTTAATAGATGATAGGCCAAAATCAAAAAGTTTCACATCTGAGTAACATTTGATTGACACAGTTGTCTGTAGGTTCTTGTTTAACCCCAGGGCTTCTCAAAGCCTTTTTATGATAATGATATGATGTGCATTGTTTCCCAGTATTACTTTATCATGGAACTTGTTTTTCAAGGAATATCATATGGTATTAGTATTTATTTGAATGTGGTTGAAAAAAAAAAAAGAATGTGCATGTACATAAAAGGAGTTAGTGGATTTTTGGAGTTAAATACTTTAAATTGTGTTAACATTTGAAAAAATTGTTTACATTTTTCTCTAGTAACCAACTCAAGGTAATCTACATTTCGATGTTGATGACTATTTTTTTAAGGTGATATAAATACAATTTATTTTTATCTTAACTTAAAGTCAATTTGTCAAGGATGTATCTAATTTAAAATAGTTTGTATACCATTCCCAAATGCATTTATTTTCAGTTTCCTTCTTATTTTTTTTTAACTTTTATTTAATGAATATAAATTTCCAAAGTACAGCTTACAGATTACAATGGCTTCCCCCCACATATCGTCCCTCCCACCCACAACCCTCCCCTTTCTTGTTGCTTCTCCCCTTCCATTCACATCAAGATTCATTTTCAATTCTCTTTATATTCAGAAGATCAGTTTAGCATATATTAAGTAAAGATTTCAACAGTTTGCACCCACATAGAAACACAAAATGAAAAATACTGTTTGAGTACTAGTTATAGCATTAAATCACAATGTACGGCACATTTAGGACCGAGATCCTACGTGAGGAGTAAGTGCACAGTGACTCCTGTGGTTTTGGTTTTGGTTTTGGTTTTGGTTTTTTACAGGCAGAGTGGACAGTGAGAGAGAGAGAGAGAGAGAAAGGTCTTCCTTTTGCTGTTGGTTCACGCTCCAATGGCCGCTGTGGCTGGCCCGCTGCGGCCGGCGCACCTCGCTGATCCAATGGCAGGAGCCAGGTACTTCTCCTGGTCTCCCATGGGGTGCAGGGCCCAAGTACTTGGGCCATCCTCCACTGCACTCCCTGGGCACAGCAGAGAGCTGGCCTGGAAGAGGGGCAACCGGGACAGAATCCAGTGCCCCAACTGGGACTAGAACCTGGTGTGCCGGCGCCGCAAGGCGGAGGATTAGCCTAGTGAGCCACGGCACCGGCCAACTCCTGTTGTTGACTTAACAAATTGACACTCTTATTTATGGCATCAGTAATCTCCCTAGGCTCTAGTCATGAGTTGCCAAGGCTATGGAAGCCTTTTGAGTTCACCAACTCTTATCACGTTTAGACAAGGTCATAGTCAAAGTGGAAGTTCTCTCCTCCCTTCAGAGAAAGGTACCTCCTTCTTTGATGGCCCCGTTCTTTCCACTGGGATTTCACTCGAAGAGATCTTTCATTTAGTTTTTTTTTTTTTTTTTGCCAGAGTTCTTGGCTTTCCATGCCTAAAATACTCTCATGGGCTCTAGAGCCAGATCCACATGCCTTCAGGGCTGATTCTGAGGCCAGAGTGCTGTTCAGGACATCTGCCATTCTATGAGTCTGCTGTGTATCCCGCTTCCAATGTTGGATCATTCTCTCCCTTTTTTGTTCTGTCAGTTAGTATTAGCAGACACTGATGTTGATGACTATTGACAGCCTCACTATTAAAAGCAAGTCTATCATATCTATGTTGAATGGTTTTGTGAAGATGTATTCATTTATTTGAAAGCTTAGTAACAGGGAAAGAAAGAGATTTTTATGTACTGTTTTACTCCCCAGAAGCCCACAACAGCCATGGCTTGGCCAGGACAAAGCCAGGATCTCAGAACTCATTCTGGGTCTCCCGTGTGAATGGTGGGGACCAAGTGCTTGGTCCGTGACCCACTGTCTTCTCAGGTACATTATTAGCAGGAAGCTGGATTGGAAGTAGAGTAGCTGGGCTTCCAGCCAGCATTCTGATATATGGTATATGGGCATTCCAAGTGGTGTCTTAACCTTCTGCACCACAGTGCCTGCCCCTGGGTTGAACTTCCATTAGCTAGTTCTATAGAGTCCTATGAGGATGTGCTTGATTTTACTTTGGGAGCTAATAAGTAAATACCAGATAGGAATACTTCATTAGACTACTTAATATTTTTTATCCTTTAGTTTCTAAATGTTTTAATCTGTATCTTTTTTAGACTTATTTTTTAGTTATTTGAAAGGCAGAGTTATAGATAGGGAGAGACAGAGATCTTCATCTTGGTTCACTCCCCACATGGCTGCAATAGCCAGGCTGTGTTAGGCAGAAATGGGGAAGCCTGAAGCCTGACCTTCTTCTGGATTTTTCACGTGGGTTTAGAGGCCCAACCAACCACTTGGGCCATCTTTCACTGCTTTCGCAGACACATTAGCAGGGAGCTGGATTGTAAGTGGAGCAGCCACTGCTTGAATAGGTTCCCAAATTGCGGTGCTGGCATTGCAGGCAGTGCTGTGTCACAGTGCTGGCCCTAGTCTGTATATTTTAAAGATAAAGTCTTGAAGTAATCATAGTACCATTGTCACACCTAAAAAAATTCCTGATAGTTCCATAATACCATCAAATACCTATTTAGTGTTTAAATTTCCAATAATGAATATTTTTACTACCCTTGGTAGCTCGTAGAATAGAACTGTAGGTACAAAACAGGAGTCAGTTTACAGATACATATGTCAATGCTGCACATGGTCGAAGGACCATCCTTTTTTCAGGATAATTAAATTTATCTCATCGTTATATAAAGTCTCATTAAGGCCTTGAATTTGACTCTAGGTAAATAAAGGGCATTGAGAATAAACTTAAATCATTATTTGTCTTAGTATATTATTTAATAATTAAAACAAAATAATTGTACTCCTGATTCATATGACATAATTATTTGAGAAGGCTCAGTAGTGAAATAACATGTTTTATTGATTCAGTTCCTAGATGATTAAAGGCAGCATTCATTTCTTTTATTATACCCCCAAGAAAAGCACATGATTTCTTTGATAATTCTTCAAAGTTGTTTATTCTTTTGCTTTTAAAAATTGCCCCCCCCCCCCCCCTTTTTGGCTAAAAGCATTTAACTGTGAGACAAAACCTGGTTTTGTTTTTCTTCTAAAAATGATGACCTTTTCTGGTTGCTTCCCATTTACTTTGTGAAGTTGGGGGAGCAATGCTGAGCATTCATGTCATATTTCCATGAACATTTTGTTATATTTAATCACTTGAACTTTATTTTGATGAGAAAAGGCTTAAAATAGAAACCTACTTTTTATCTTATTTAAGGTTCAGCCCACTCCTAGAAAATAATCAGTAATAACATGTTTTTTTTAAAATTTTTAAAAATTTTAATTTTTGACAGGCAGAGTTAGACAGTGAGAGAGAGAGACAGACAGAGAGAAAGGTCTTCCTTCTGTTGCTTCACCCCCTAAATGGCTGCTGCGGCCGGCGCTCTGCGCTGATCCGAAGCCAGGAGCCAGGTGCCTCTTCCTGGTCTCCCATGCTGGTGCAGGGCCCAAGCACCTGGGCCATCCTCTATTGCCTTCCCAGGCCATAACACAGAACTGGACTGGAAGAGGAGCAACTGGGACAGAATCTGGTGCCCCAACCGGGACTAGAACCTGGGGTGCCGGCGCCGCAGGCGGAAGATTAGCCTAGTGAGCCGCGGTGCCCGCCTATGTTTTTTATAAATTCTTTTTTTTAAATTTTATTTATTTGAAAGAGTTACAGAGAGAGGTAGAGACAGAGAGAGAGGTCTTCCATCTGCTGGTTCACTCCCCAGATGGCCGCAACGGCCGGAGCTGCACCAGTCTGAAGCCAGGAGCTTCTTCCGGTTCTCCCACAGGGGTGCAGGGGCCCAAGGACTTTCCCAGGCCATAGCAGGGAGCTGGATCAGAAGAAGAGCAGCCGGGAATAGAACCGGCGTCCATATGGGATACCGGCCCCTATATGGGATGCTGGCGCTTCAGGCCAGGGCTTTAACCTGCTGCGCCGCAGCACCAGCCCCAGTAATAACAATTTTAAAACCCCAAAGGTACTGTTGGGTAGAAAATATTTGCAGAGGACGGTTTCTTCATGTTTAATTGCAGAATTACTCTGTGTAGATGCAAATATAATTATTTCTTATTTGCACAGGAATAGGTATTTAAAATATTAATGCTCTAACATGCTTATTGCTTATCATATTCTATTTTTAGACTCCTCGGAGACAGAAAAAACTCTTTTGCCGCTATCATGATGGAAACCGGAATCCTAAATTCATTCTGGCTCCAGCAAAGCAGGAGGATGAGTGGGACAAGCCTCGTATTATTCGCTTCCATGATATTATTTCTGATGCAGAAATTGAAATTGTCAAAGATCTAGCAAAACCAAGGGTAAATAATTTTTTTTCTTTCTCTCCTCTCAATTTACTATACCTGTGTATCCATTTTTTCTTTGTAAAATAATAGAAATGATAGTTGATATGGCAGAAACACCACAGATACTGCAGTTGTTAACTACAGTCTAATTATGCCAGTTTTTTCTCAGTTTGTTGCCAACATAAGAAACATTTCTTCCAACTGAGTTTTAAGAACTGAATTATGAAAATCATGGATGAGATTTTTATTCACACTTGGCAATTTTGTGTTTTACCATCTTCCTGAAAGACTTCTATATTTTTGAGTCTTAATTTCAGAGACCTCTGAAAACTCACCTTTTTCATATTTTCTATATTTTTATCTAAAAGAATACTTGAAGTATTCTCTTTTAGGCACATTATTACTAGAAAGATATAATTAGCATGGGCATCATACTGATTTGAAATGGTGACATCATAGTTTTTTGCTTTCATCCTATTAAGAAAATTAATCTTGTGTAGGTTAGACTCAATACTGTAAACTTGGGAGAATGTGGGAAAGACTGTATTTAATGCTCTTGCCTTTTTTCCCCATCAGCTTGTTATTAAAACATATTTGTTCTCACTGATACTAAAATACAAAATGCCATCACTTCACAATGACATTGTGAAATGAATGCTAGGCAGAGTTTTGTTTTCTTTACTGCACTAGGGTAACAGATTTTTTTTCTGTAACAGTCAAGTTATTAAATACTTTTTAGGCTTGTAGGCCATATGGTCTCTATCATAGCTACTCAGCTCTGACATTGTAGTGCAAAATCTACCAAAGAAAATATGTATATTAATGAGTATGGCTGTATTCCAGTAAATTTTATTTCTAAGAACAGATGACAGCTGAACTTGGCCTGTGAGTTTGCTAACCCTTGTTACATCATAAAAGTTTGAATTATCTGTATATTGATGCTATAAAATAAGCTTAGGGCCGGCGCCGCGGCTCACTAGGCCCATCCTCCGCCTTGCGGCGCCAGCACACCGGGTTCTAGTCCCGGTTGGGGCACCGGATTCTGTCCCGGTTGCCCCTCTTCCAGGCCAGCTCTCTGCTGTGGCCAGGGAGTGCAGTGGAGGATGGCCCAAGTGCTTGGGCCCTGCACCCCATAGGAGACCAGGATAAGTACCTGGCTCCTGCCTTCGGATCAGTGCGGTGTGCCGGCCGCAGCGGCCATTGGAGGGTGAACCAACAGCAAAAGGAAGACCTTTCTCTCTGTCTCTCTCTCTCACTGTCCACTCTGCCTGTCCAAAAAAAAAAAAAAAAAAAAAAGCTTAGAATTTTTCAAGTTCTATTACTTTACCAAATTTTTAACAAAAACTTTGTGTTTTCCTAAAGATTACAAATAAATGCATAAGACTGCTCTAATATGTCAGAGTGTTCTCCGGTATGGATTTTTATAAATCTGTTGCCAAGCTGAATGCTACACACAGATACACAATACTGATTCTCTTTTGAATTCTTACTTTTCTTTATTTGTGGTCAGTAAACCTGTCAACCACAGATGTTGGTAGAATATTCAGTTAGAATTCATTCTACACTGGAGATCAGGTCTTAATATATCTGAGTTTGAAGGCCCCAGCCTTCAAAGGAGATTCCTCAGTTTAGATTATTTTTGGTCAATAAAATCAGACAATAAAATCTCATAATCTCTTGTTAACCTCAGAATCATCATTCCATTTTTAAAAAAAAGTTTATATCATTATCTTGGCTATTATCTCTTTGTTACTGGTTTTAACATTTATGAGTTCTTTTCATCTGCCTTTGTGCTCATTCCAAGATAACTGAATAGTTATCTTAAAGGTAGAAAAGATTGACCTTAAAATGAATTTTAAACAATGTTATTAACTTTTACAAACAGTTTCATTGCTAAAAAAAAAAAATTAAGCCATTCTTCTTATAACTGTAGACCAAGTTTAAAGCAGTTTTTTTTTCTCCTTCACTTTCACATCTTCTAATCATTGAAGAAATTTGATTTCAAATCTCCTTTGTTTATGGATCCTTTGTTTATGGATCCTTTATTCATGCTAAACAAAAATGATTTTTAGAAAACACAAAAACCTGAAAAACCAGCTGACTTTCAAGGCTCAACACAAGGTGACTGGAAGTGTATGGAGTTACTTTCTCTTTACATCTACCTTTGTTAAAAAAAATCCCAGAATTCTGACTGGTTGGATAAATGTGATTCATTTTTTTGTCTTGTAATGCAACTATTTTGATGGTTGGCTTCACAGCTGAGGCGAGCCACCATTTCAAATCCAATAACAGGAGACTTGGAGACGGTACATTACAGAATTAGCAAAAGGTAAGAGATGTGTAAGCTGCATATTTTGGCCTCTAATAAGTGTTTTGTGTATCCTACAGGAATTATTAGTCATTTAAGGAAATAGGTCATTTTCAGTCTCCAGCTCAAGTCACCACCTTATTTATAAACAGGATAAGGCATGGGTAAACTTTGTGTTTCACAGGTCTTTCCCTTCAACTAGAAGTTCTGTTTTTACTTTTTGATTGATTTCTTATTTTTAGAGAATTAATATACTTGGTATCTTTCTTCAGATTGAGTATCAAATATCCTGGAAATGGCCTGATGCAGTTTTGTCCCTTTTGTGGCCAAAGGGGAAAATAAAGAAAAAGAAGCTTCCTGGTTAATCTAGGCACAGAGTTTGCTTATGCATTTGTCTTACATTCATAACTGTTGTAGTGATTCACCTCATCTTTCATGGCGATTATGCTGGCATTTGTTTTTATGTATTGAAAAATACCATTGACATTATGGAGTAATCTGTAGAATTTTTTATTTTAAAAAAAACTTGCTAACTCAAAAATTGGTGATGGAAAGAACAGAGTTATGCTTCTCAGCTCAGTCTCCTAAAAATTACCTGGCAATTTTTAACTTCTCCAGAAAGATTGAAAAATTGTCTCAATGAGAGTTTTAAAAAACTGAATTTAAAGAGAATACCGATTTTTTTTTTAAAACATTAACATTAAACTTCTAGGTCTGTGAAAAGTCCTGTGAAACCCAGTGCCATAAATCATCCACATACAGCTTCAAATGATTTTTATTTAAAAAAAGTGAAAGGACAATAAATCTATAAAATCTGTCAGCCTGTTTTTCTCTTGATTTGGAAGTGGCTTGTCTTATTGCCACCTATCTACACATTTTTTACTGATATGAAACCATTACTATCCAGACCAATCTGAACCCTTCCAATCACCTGTGGCTTGGCAAAACAAAACCCAAAAAAGCCCAAAATTGCCTGCTACTAGAGTAAGTTCTTGTCCTTTCTCTTTTTTTTTTTTTTTTTGTAGCTAAGCCGAGCTACAGTACATGACCCTGAGACTGGAAAGTTGACCACAGCACAGTACAGAGTGTCTAAGAGGTAAGGGAGTGACGAAGAGGGCGTCAGGCGTATTGGACTGTCTTCTTTCTTGAGAATCTGATTCTCACAAAACTCATGTTTTCAACAGCTAAGCTGTTAGCTTTAGGTATTTGATGATATCTGTTCTTGAATTTTCAGGATGGACTAATAAATAGTTATGGGTCAATTGATAGAGGTTTTTCAAAGTAAATTATTAGATTATAAAGTGGTGAGGGCTCCCAAACCCTAACTGCTAAGTGATGTATTCTCACATTGAAGTAAGAGAAGTTCCCGAGGACTGTTGATAGAATATTGCCTTTTTTGGACTCTGTAAAGAAGGGGTTTCAAAAGCTCTGGGTCACCCTGTAGTGAGCTGTAGGCACTGAGAAAGTAAATGCCTTGAATGACTACGCAACAAAACATTTGCAAACCATCAGTTTCAGATTCCTTTGAGCAGTGTTTAAGGAGAATCTAATGCGATCATTAGCTGATAGAACACTAGAATAGTTTCAAAAAATAGATCACTGGGTAACCTAGGTATATAAATTAGAAGGAACATAAAATAGAAGGAACACTCCAACTGAACTCCTTTTTCATCTCTTTATGTGAAGAATGTTTCTCAACCTCTTATAAAAGTAAAAATAGAAATATCATTGTGCTGAATTCTTTCTTTCTCTATTACTCTAACAATAAGTAATATTTATCCATAGTAACAAGAGCAGAAGTAATAAAACATAGGCCCTATCCATTTCATTAGGAATGTTTTAATGTATTTTACTTTCTGTATTTGACAACAATTGTTTAATCATTTATTGGATTAAAATATAAAAATAATTAATTGTTTTTATCAATTATGAATATTTTTTATTTTAGAGAGTAAAAAAGTGATGAATAAAGACTTCCAGGTATAAAAATGTGTGTCTCTTACAGGGTTGGGGAATGTCTGGCCCACTGGCCCTGCCAAGGCAACTGCGGGCTGCAACTCAAAATTCAGCAAATCTGTAGCAGGCTAAATTTCAAGTTGATAATTTTGTATGTGCCATGAATAATGTTATAAATACCCGCATGGCCCTTGCAAGAAAAGTTCACTACCCTTGCTCTAGCCCAAGGTTTCTCAATTCAGAACCGTTAGCATTTTGAGTCATATCTTCTTTATTATTGGGCTGTCTTCAGCCAGTAGCACTCTTGGTCCAATTATAGAAATTAAAAATGTTCCTAGACATTGTTAAATGTCTATCTGTAGGCAAAATCTCTGCTGCCACCTCCAGGGACTCCATCTGTCCGAGGGGGAAAAAGCATGATATAAAATTGGCAATATTAAAAATATTTTGTTATATATTTTTAGAGTGGATCATGTTCATATGGTATTTAGAGTCCACTGATAAAATGGTAAAAGTTTTTACGGAAATTATTATTATTTTCAGTATAACAGAATCAAATATTTTGATACTATTGTAAAAAAAATTTTCAATAAAAATTATACAAAGGAGTAATAGATTTTAATGACTATTTTAGGAGATAAACAGAAACAATTTGAAGATTAACTGCAGTAAGTGCTAGCAGAAGTACTGTAAAGAATGCACTTATTGAACATTTCCTTATTTGTTTTTGGGAAAAGCCATATGTCATTCATAAATTAAACTTATCACCATACACATATCCTGGTTTCCTAACTGTATTTGCCATATACCACCACCTGCCCCTTGGTTTCAGTAGGTGTAGAAAATTTCTCTCCTATCATTAGGGTCATGGCTAAGACCCCTATAACAAAAGACAGATAAATTAGAGAAAAGCATACAAATCTATTTAATATAAGTTTTACATGACATGAAGCCTTCAGAAATGATGACTCAAAGAATAGGGAATACTGTATATTTTTATACTAAGTTTGATAAGAGTGGACAGTCTTACGAAAGTATGATTGGGCAAAGGGAGTTATCAACTAATGGTAGTAAAGTGGATGGAACTTGGCAAGGCCCATTCAGATGTTTCTTGGCATCTCTGTATATTCAAGAATAAGGACGTTTCTTTCCTTTAGGGATAGGGAAGTTACCTTTAGAATGAAAGTTTTATGATCTACTTTATTTTTAAAAGTTGATTTATTTGAGAGACTGAGGAGTTCCCATCTACTAGTCCACTCCCCAGCATATAGGGGCTGGGCCTAGTCAAACCTGGAACGAGAACTCAGTCCAGATCTCCTAAGTGGGTGGTAAGGATCCAAACACCGAGCCATCACTTGCTGCCTCCCAGGATGCACGTTCATGGGAAGTTAGAATCAGTAGAGGAACCAGGATTTGAACCCAGTCACTCATATATAGGATGTGGATGCCCTAACCAGTGTCTTAACTTCTATGCAAACAGCTTGCTGCATGATCTACTTAGTTTTTTTTATTTAAAGATTTTATTTATTTATTTGAAAGGCAGAGTTACAGAGAAGTAGAGAGAAAGAGATCTTCCATCTGCTGGTTCACTCCTCAAATGGCCACAATGGCCAAAGCTGGGCCGATCCGAAGCCAGGAGCCAGGAGCTTCTTCCAGGTCTCCTAAATGGGTGCAGGGACCCAAGGACTTGGGCCATCTTCTACTGCTTTCCCAGGCCATAGCGGAGAGCTGAATTGGAAGTGAAGCAGCTAGGACTGAACTAGCACCCATATGGGATGCTGGCACTTCAGGCAGCAGCTTTATTTGCTATGCCACAGCACCAGCCCTGATCTACTTAATTTTTTTTAATTGTTTCTTTTATTTTAAAGATTTATTTATTTGAAATGAAGAGTTAGAGGCAGAGACAGTGGCTTTATCTGCTTCATCACAACGCTGGTTCCAGACTTAATTTTTAATTTGTATTTATTATTATTTTATTTGAAAGGCAAAGAGACAGGGATCTCCTATCCACTGGTTCATTCCCCAAATGCCTGTTGCAGTTGGGGCTGGGCCGTGCCAAAGCCAGGAGCCCAGAATTCAGTCCATTTCCAATGTGGGTGGCAGAAACCCAAGTACTTAAACCATTAAACCATTGCCTGCTAACTTCTGGGTGTACCTTGGCAGAAAGCTGAAACTGAAGCGAAGTAGCCAGGACTCAAATTCAGACACTCCAGTATGGGATGCTGGTGTTCCAAGCAGTGTCTTTTTCTCTTTCTTTTAGTTACTTATTTGAAGGCAGAGTTACAGATAGAGAGAGGGAGAAACAGAGAGATCTTTAATCTGCTGGCTCACTCCTCACATGGCTGCAGTGGCCCAGGCTGAAGCCAGGAGCCAGGAGTTTCTTCTCCATCACCCTTGTAGGTGCTCAAGCTCTTGGGCCATCTTCTGCTGCTTTCCCAGGCACATAAGCAGGGAGCTGATGGGAAGTAGAGCAGCCAGGACACAGACCACCACCTCTATGGGATGCTGGCGTCAAAGGCGGTGACGTAACCCACTATATCACAACGCCAGCCCCCCAAGAAACATCTTAGCCCTTGGATCAAATGCCGTCACTTACCTGCCCCTTAAAGGAAGGTTAGAGGATTCTTTGGAGGCCTGTTCAGGAGAGAAGAGTCAGTTCAGGAAGACTTTCTGCTTCTGTTGTTGCCTCAAATGCCAAGGTGCCACTTTTTGGGGTAGAGTGTCCTCAACCCCATCCAAAAACATAAAGAAAATTTAAATTTGCTTTGATGTAATTTTGATTTTAATCATAAGAGCAGTTATCCCTAAAGAATACTAATAAATGGTAAGGAGTTTCAGAAACCAATTTAAATAGACATGTTTTGGGACATTTACATTACTGTTGAGCATTGTGATTAACTTTTTAGTTTTTTAAGATTTATTTATTTGAAAGGCAGAGTTAGAGAGAGAACCATCCATTGGTTCACTCCCCAAATGGCTTCAGTGGCCAGAGCTGGCCTGATCCAATGCTAGGAACCAGGAGCTTCTTCCAGGTCTCCCTTGTGGGTGTTGGAGCAGGCCATCTT